CTCAATCAGATATAGACAATAAATTATTCAGTAGACTGTTCAGGACAGTTGGTTATACATTTAGAAATAAAATATATATCTGCACCTAAAATAAATTCCAGGTGGATGAAAGACACAAACACAAATTAATCCAGCAGTGTGACAGAGACTACAGGAAAAAAAATAACCTTGTAATTTTGGAATAGATGAGGCCTTTGTAAGAGTGTCATAAATCCGAGATACCATAAAATAAACACTGAAATATTTGAAATGATGTGAAATTGAAGATAAATAGAAAATTTGGGAAAATACTCTGCAATATATCTGACAATATATTAGTAGTTTTAATATGAAAAACGCTAACAAATGGAAAAGACAAAAGAGTTCAGCAGAAAAGAAACACGAAAATGTATTTCACTGTGACAGAGGTAAAAATATCATAAATATGCACTTACTTCCACTAATAAATCCATGGAATACAACCCAAAGCATTCAGAACAAAATGACTTTTCACATGTACAAATACTGGTAATGCCATGTTGATATGCTTATGGTTTTGGTCATTCTAATAATCGCTTGGAGATAGTATATACAAGTACAATCGCTTTGTAGGAAAAAAATCTTTGCTGTAAATATATTGGTTTTGATTCAGTGAGTTCACTTCTAGGTCATATCTCATGGGAATAATGAAGCAGGTGTACGAATATGTATTCTTAGCTACGCACTGTAAAGTCATCATAAGAAAGAAAATTTCAATGGGAAAATGTCAACACAAACTGGAAGTGTCATGTGGCTGATAAGCAGAAGGCAAATGAGAGGAAGGGGCAAGTTAAAAGATCGTACGGTTATGTATTGAGAATGACAAAATCGACTTAAAAAAGACTTTTAGCTTCATACGTACTATGATTTTCAGGGCTAAATAATTTGCACGGATCATCTCATCTACTCCTCAGAAAACACTGTCTAGTAGATGAAAGCATTTATTACAAATACATTTCCCCAGTAAGAGTCTATCTTAAATGCACAATAAAGCAATAGCCAAGACTTGTAGAACAATTGCCTGACTTTTATGCTTCAGTTATTTTTCAATCTTTAATGAGCATATAGTCTTTGTATTTTTATGGACTTTTCAAACATTTCAAAAAGTCAGCCTCAGTGAGTACCAGCTAATCTTGCTCCAGGGACACCATCACCTCCTCCTGTCCTGTGGAGCCAGCTCTCAGGGCTTGCATCATTGTACCCACAAATACTTTAGAGCAGTGGCAAAGACAAGCCAGCTCCCCCAACCAACTATGCCACTCCGCCTCTAAGATAACAGCTACATTAACTTTTTCTTTTCTGGGCTTTCAAACTCACTGTGCTTGTAACTGCATCTCCATATTCTATAGCACAAATATAACACATATCTTTGAAATTAATTTCCCTTTGATTTGCATTGAGCTTGTCGATTTTTCACTGTAAGAAATAGCACTGCAATTATCATCGTACAATGCTTTTTCTTTCTTTTTTCCTTTCTGCCTTCACTTTTTCTTTTTTTCTTCACAGGATGAATAGCTCTTTCAGGTAGATAGCTAGAAATGAATTGATTTGCCATCTAACAGATATAAAAATTCAAAATGTTCATGAATGATGCTTCTATGCTCTAAATCTACCAGTGAATTTTTACCTCACCCAGACTGGAAACCAGCCTGTGAGGGCCAGTGTGGTCTGGTCCATGAAGCCCCCCGCCCCCCAGCCATCACTCCTGGGGTGTGGCCTCGGTCACAACTCCTAGTTCTCACTGCTGTAGGAATATTAGCTTTTCTTTATTAAGCACATAGTGTATGTGCCTGTCTAGACCTTACCATTTCTGTTCCTTTGACTTGACATACATTTCATGGAATGGATCTATGACTACCTCCCCTGCTTCTTTTAACTGGTCAACTTAAAATAAAAATAATAGTAATTTCAGTGCTGGGGATTGAAACTAGGGCCTCGTGCTTGCTCTATGACTGAGTTACACCTACAGCTATTTTTTCATTTTGAGACTAAGTATTGCTGAGTTGCTCAGGCTGCTCTGCAATTTGCAAGCCTCTTGCCTCAACTTTCCTAGTAGCAGAGATTATAGGCGTGTACCACATCTGGCTCAATATAAATTTTAGTAGGAAAATTTTAAAGTAGAACAGTTGTTTATATCACCCATTTTATTTATTTATTTTAAATCAGGATAAATATACCCATTTTCTCAAATATGGAAAGTCAGTTCTGAAGTGCATATGAAAAAATAAGTGAATAACTAGAAAAACTATAAAACAGAAGAATACGCTATGCAGGTGGTCAGCCTCACAAGTCAATAAGATAGGATAAGCAAGGATTATCTTAAAATAGTATTACTAACTGGGTATGATGGCACACTTCTGTAATCCCAGCACTCTGGAAGGCTAAGGCAGGAAGATCACATTGGGCCCAGGCTGGACAACTTAGTGACTTCATAATTTTGTAAGACCCTTTGTTTAGTGCCCAGTTAATTCCTTCATCAGAGCACAATCTAACATCACCTTCTTGTAGGACACCTTCTCCCACCTTGCCTCTCACCTAATCATTCTCCCACAGTAAATGCCTATAATGACCCTTTCATAGAACCTTTCATGAATCATATTTATTTACTTAGTACTTAATTCCCCCATCCAAATTCAAAATTTACATGTCAGATACCTTAGCTTTCTTCAAATTAATTTTTTTTGTGGTTACAACTTCATGGAATGAGAGAATAAACATTTTAGTTAATGTCATTTAATTAATCTCTCTTAACTCTTCTCAAGAAAATAAATTTATTAAAAAAAAAACAGAAAAAAAATAAATTTGTCATGGCCTAAAATCTAGATGACCTGTCAAAGCCTCATATGCTCATAGGAGGGGCTTTGGGGAGGTAACTGCTTCACAGGTACATGATACAGTAAGTCCCTGACTTAGCAAAGAGTTCTGTTCCATGAGAATGCTGGTAAGTTGTATTCCTGCATAAGTCTGACAAAATGAATCTTATATACCTTTGGCACAAATATAAAGTGTAAAGCATATAAAAACTAAACACACATACAAAAATACTGTAAATAAACTATTTTACTTGTGATGTTCCAAGCCTTGTGGGAACAGGTGGGTCACTGTGGGCATGGCCTGGAAGAGCACATCCCCCCCTTACTCCCTTCGTCCTTCTCTGATTCCTGCCTGCCGTGCCATGGACTGTTTCTCCTCTGCCAGCCCTTCTGCCAGGCTCTCTGCCTTGGACTGAAACCTCTACAAGCTGATAGACATAGTAAATCTCCCATCCTTTAAGTTGTGGGTGCTGCATATTGTGTCTCAGGAATGAGAAAGGAACTAAGACAACATCACTTTGGGTTATTGTGACCCTTAGGTGAGATACTGTAAGTGCATGATATAGTGCATAATACAGAAAAGTCTTCAAAACAGAAAAGCTGGTCTCATATTTAATTATAATTATTTCCAAAGCAATATATACCTGGATGCCATGAGATAAACCAAAATTTGCTAAATTTTGGTCATCCTGAACTCCTTTCACACTCTTGCAATAGCTATATTCCATATAAACTCTTAATAGTTTTCTTTATATTGACTGATTTTTTAAAATTAAATGTCTACTTTTACCTCATACTAAAGTAACCTCCACAAAATTATTACTTTTTCTTATGTATTTTCTGCAATACATTGTTAGCTAATAAAAACACATTGAAAGAACACTTAAAATCATCACGAGAATGTGCTACTTGACTCCTTGGGAAATGCTGAGATGGATAATTACTTGGTGTGCATCATTTCCTTTCTTTACCTGTCTCTAAAATGCACCTATTAGAATTATTTATCTTCATCATTAACTGGGATTTCTAAGGGCAAAGATTGTGACTATAAATTCTATTGTCAGTAAATACTAAGATACTTTCCCAGAACAGCAGCTCAAAAAATATTTGAAAACTAAATTAAACAGTATTTGAATACCTACAATGATTAAAGAATGTGTCAGGCATGTTAGCATAACTCAGAGGATGGACAGATACAGATTCCCCACTCAAGAAGATGGCAAGCTACAAAAGAAATATTTTTTTCTTTAAAAATGCGTAAAGGGCTGGGGATTTAGCTCAGTGGTTCCCGCGCCTGCCTCACAAGCACAAGGTCCTGAGTTTGATCCCTGGCACCAAAATAAATAAATAAATAAATGAATAGATAATAAAAAATAAAAATGTATATGCTACACAGAAACATGGCAAGTCTGAGTTCATCCTAGGTAACTTTAGCAATGCAATAAGACCTTGCCTCAAAATTTGAAAAGGAATGGGGATGTAAGAGCATGAGAGCCCTGGGTTCAATACCCAGTAACAGACACACACACATAAACACACACACACACAGAGTAAATGCTATAAATGTATACATATATTATGCACATATAATTAATTTTTTGCAGGGTTAATAGAATGATAAGTAATTTTTAATTCACAAATGCATTCAAGCTAGGGCCAGCGATTTAGCTCAGTGGTTCCAGTGCCTACCCCAGAAGCGCAAGGGCCCGAGTTCAATCCCTAGTACAAAAAAAAAAAAATCAAACTAGACTTTGACAGATAAGAATATGAATTAAGAATATGTGTGCTTATACGTGTTTGATTGGTGGACCATTAATCCTGATATGTCAATTTCAATGGATTGAGAAATTATGACACAGAGGGAAATAGTGGTAAAAATAAGTTGCTAATTTTTTTTTTTGAGACAGGGTCTCACTATGTAGTTTAGACTGCTGTGGAACTCACTATGTAGCCCAGGCTGGTCTCGAACTCAAAGCGGTCCTCCTGTCTCAGCCTCCCGAGTGCTGGGATTACAGAAATGCCCCACGACGCCCGGCTATGTTGCTAATTTTAAAGAGACAATTATAGAAATGAAATCAATGGTGTCTTTAAAATATGAAAATAATTTATATATTTTCCTCATTTTTAGATAGAGAACAGAACATTAAAGTTAAAATGTGATTTTTGTGTGTGTGCTCGCTACAGCCGCACATACACTAAAATTGCAACGATACAGAGGATTAGCACAGCTGCTTTACAAGAACGACACACAAAAATGTGACATTATCTTTAATATAAAATGATGTTCTCAAAATTCTTCAGATTCATGTTATCCATACAAGAACATGTCTGTGCATTGTTGGAAAATCCCCAAATCCTAGCTGGCTGTGTTGGCCTATGCCTGTAATCTCAGCACTCCGCTAATCTGAGGAAGGAGAACAATTTCTAGCCCAACCTAAGCAATTTAGTGACTTAAAAAGACATTATCTTTAATATAAAATGATGTTCTCAAAATTCTTCAGATTCATGTTATCCATACAAGAACATGTCTGTGCATTGTTGGAAAATCCCCAAATCCTAGCTGGCTGTGTTGGCCTATGCCTGTAATCTCAGCACTCCGCTAATCTGAGGAAGGAGAACAATTTCTAGCCCAACCTAAGCAATTTAGTGACTTAAAAAGACCAAGTTCGATTCCTGGTGACAAAAAAAAAAAAAAAAAAAAAAAAAAAAAAAACAACAATGAAAAAAAAAAAAAAAAAAAAAAAAGATAAAAGAACACTAGACTTTGGATAATAGATTAAGAAACGTAAAAATGGATGGAGATTTAGCTTAGTGGTTTTGCCACCTGCCTTGCAAGCCCAAGGACCCGAGTTTGATCCCTGGTACCAAAAAAAAAAAAGTAAGAACTGTGAAAACAAAAATCCCAAATTTATTTGCTAAATCAAGGAACTGCAGATGCATCTTAGTGGCAGAACACACACTTAGCAGGTGTGAAGCCCTGCGTTTGGTCCTCAACACCATTATATAAAATTATCACGGTGGTTCTTTGAACAGATTTCTTGAAACTGAATGAATAAAATGACAATATAAGTGAAGAGGTGCAAAGAGAGCCCTAATTAGATTAATACAAACTTGACTTTGCAGGTTTAAAGTTCTCACTCATTGTCATAAACATTTGAGTCTTGTTGACTCTGAAAAAAAGATGTGCCAGGATGAATAGAGAATAAAATATAATGCATTCTTGGGGATGTGTCCACTTCAATATTCAGTAATACACACACACACACACACACACACACAATCGACAAATTTTATAGCATATGCATATATATATTTATAGCATATATATAGATAGATAGATTTCAAGAAGATTTCAAGACTTATTTATAATGGCTGAGAATGGCAGTGAAGAAGAACCAGAGGAAGATGGATAGGTCTGGGTTAGAAGTTTAATTTGTACTCGTACACACAAGAGCTATGTAATCAGCAGGCTGAGCCCCATAGAAAGAAGGTATATATTTCTGGGCAATACCTCGAGGAACAAAGGAGATAGAAAGAATTATTGTCCTTGGAAATCCAGGGATCTTTGGGCACTTAGGCAGTTGAGCTAATATAACATCAAGGAAGGATACACTTTTGTGTAGTGATAACTCTAAGAACCTTACCTACGAATAAGGAAGATTGGCAAAGGGAACTGAGTTGTTTAGTTGGTTTTAGCTACATATACAATTAAGCTAGCAATCTGCGTAAAATGGCAGGTTTCCCTGAATATCTCAAAATAGCAATATGAAAAAGAAAAGATAAGAAACTTATCTCAATCTGATTAGAGCCATTTATGACAAACCTATAGCCAAAACCATATCAAATAGGGAGGAGATGAAAGCTTTCCCTCTAAAGTCCGGAAGAAGACAAGGATGTCTGCAATCGCTACTACTGTTCAATTTCGTATGGGGAGCCAGGCCAGACCAGTCGAGCAAGAAAAAGAAATAAAAGGGGGCCAGGGATTTAGCTCAGAGGTTCAGCTGCTTGCCTTGCAAGCATAGGAACCCGATTTCGATCCTCGGTACCAAACAAAAAACAAAAAAACAAAAAAACAAACAAAGGGAAATTCATTTTTAAAAGTTCAGGGTGGCCGCCGCCTGCCTATCAAGTGCAAGGTCCCGAGTTCGATCTTGGATACCCCCGCCAAATATGTAAAATATGAAAGACACTATGCCAACACATCCTTTGGGCTAAGGATTTAGCTGTGGTGCCACCACGTGCCTCTCAAGAATAAGGACCCGAGTTCGATCCCTGAAAAAAAAAATTTTGCCAGGTACTTCTCAGTCCGTGTGGTAAGAGTCCCCTTTTAAGTAATGTTATAAAGACCTCAGGACAAAAAAAGACAAAGCGGCCCAAGTCCTGTGGCCATATGTATAACTCTGACACAGCTTTGTAACTTGAACTGTTACCATATACGTATGAAAGACAAAGGAGCAAAAATTGGACAAGAGGGAACCCCCACCCCCGGGGCTTGAGGCTCCGCCTTTTGAGTATTAATCCAATGAGCCTGTGCTGGCATAAATAAAGCTGCTTCCTAAAAAAAAAAGCCTCAGTGTTCTGGCTTTCTGCATACAACTCCTTGCTACAAGAGGACGAATATCTATAGAGAACCCCAAAACATTAGACCCCCATAAATGACCCAATCAAGAGACACTTCTCAGAAGAAGAAATCCGTATGACCAATAAGTACATGCAAAGATGTTCACCATCTCTGACCACTAAGAGAAGTGCAAATTAAAACAACACTGAGAGTCTTGCTGAAGGCTGTCATCAAGGAATCAGATAACAGGAAACGGTTATGCGGCTGGGGGGGGGGAGAAACAGTCTTCATTGTTTGTGGGAATGTAAACTAGTACAAGAATTATGGAACTCAATATAGACATTTCTCAGTAAATAAAACAAGAAATTCAGTTTGACTCAGCTAGTCCCCTTCTAGATATCTTTCTAAAAGAGTGAAAGACATCATATTACGGCGATGACCTGCATAACCATGCTTATAGAAGCACAATTTGCAGTAGCTAAATTCTGAAAGCAGCCTGTATGTCCATCAACAGATAAATGGATAAATGCGTTTGTAGACAACGGAGGCTGGGATCTCGCTCAGTGGTGCTGCGTCTGCCTGGCAAGTGCAAGACCTGAGTTTAATTCCCGGTACTGAGGGGGAGAAAAAAAAAGAGTCCTAAAGACAATGGAATACTTCTCTTCCATAAATAGGATAAATTTGAGGCGTTTGTAGAAAAAGAAAATGGATGCACCTTGAGACCATACATTCAGTTAAACAATCAGATGCACAAGGTTCAAAATAACGTAGTTTCTCTTATATGAGGAACCTGAAATATAAATAAATAGCAAAATAAAACATACAGGAAAAAAAGAAAAAAAGACGGAGGGAGGAGAAAGGAAGGGTACAGAAAACAAAAAAAAGTTTCCGGGGGGAAGGAAGGGGAGGGAAGAGAAGGGATGAAGATGCGTTGTGCGTGCACAGCAGTTCCTCATGGTGAGCGGAATCATCACTCCTGCAAACGTGCACTCACAAAAACTGAAAAAGGAAGAAAAGGTAGCTCACCCTGTTCTATTGTTTACTGAAAAAGGAAAAAACAAGCTGTACACGTTTAGGACCAAGGCAACCATACTTGTTTAACCACACAGTACGGGTCAGCAACAACAAAACATTTTTTAAATTTACTTTCAACCCTCAGTTAGTTGAATTCATGGATAAGAAACCTGATATATTTCCATGTGCTGATTGTACAAATATTGTTGTACTGAATATCCACCTCACAGTTGTGAAAGAAGTTTCCGTAGAATATCTCTAGATGTAGAACTGGTAGGACAAAAAGAAAATGTCAAAGTTTTAGACTCTCACTTTTAAAAATGTGTTGATGCCTCATTCTGTCTTGCAATTCTTTGCTCCTTAAGGGTATGTTCTCAAAAAGCCATTAAATGTATATATCAGTAAAATCTCATTTAAAGTCTTTCAGTAATAAAATCTAATTTTAATAAATAAACATGAATACTATGAATAGAGTAAAAACATTTAAATATATATATATGTATAATGAAACTATATATATATGAATTTAATAGAAGCATAACTATTAAACTTATGAACTTATACAGCATTTCTGCCAACAATTCCCTTTAACTAATGAAAGCTTTAGATCTTACTTTCACATGAGGAAACACAAGTGATTTAAAAAAGTTAAATGATACTCTGAGGACATAATTGGACAATTCTAGAAGGTGGAACATTATAGAAAATAGACCAGCCTCCTCAATGTGTCACTATGAGTTTAAAACAAAGAGGAGCCACTCTTCTAGATTAAAATACACCTAAAGACACAATACAATGAAAAGTTTGCTGATTGTTTAACGTTGACTTGAACAAACATCATCTGATGAGAGAAAACAAGGACATGTTCAAATCCCAACAGGTCCATGTCCCAAGAACAAAGGAGTCAAAAAGAATGCTTGCTTGTAAAATTTGGAACAATTTGAGTATTCAAACTGATGATGACAGGGATGTGTTTAAAAACAATAAATTAACGGTTGACACTGTACGAAAAATGATGTTAAAGGAGGGAAGGAAGGCAAAATTATTTTTTAAAGAAAACTTCCAATTAATACTTTCTAGATGAAATTGTCATATTATACTCACCCCTGGGATAATTGATTCTGGACAGAATCATCAATGAACTGAAAAGCCTTGGGCTTTAGATAGATTACTGGAGAATAAAATATTCACATTGTGTCAAACTCTCAACCAATCAATAGGCTATTAGTTTCAAAGATAAAAGGACATATTTTAATGGTGAAATCTGGAAAACATCACCTCTGAAATGGACAGGCTCACAGGCAGCTCCCTGCAGTAACGCAGCGAAGGACACACATCATCCACGTGGCAGGAATGTCGTACCAGGATCTAACCCCGAAGCAACCTCAGACAGATTCAGATGGAGGTATGACTAGCAAATACTGCTCTTTAAATAGATTAGTGCTATAAAAACCGGAAAATGTCTGAAATATTCTAGATTTTTACAACCTTAAAGAGACTAAAAATAAGTGAGTGTATGTGTTTTTAGGGTTGTAGAAAATAATCCAGCTATATCAGGATAAATGGGAGAATTAATTTATTTTTATTGAATTTTTTGGTACATTCTAAGTACACAGTACAGTTACATTCATTATTGGGATCCTGTACCTCTACATGACAGGTCTTGCTTCTCACTTTTTCCCCTTGTCCCCACCCTCCCTT